TATGTGTATCCCATCAACATTTGTTGTACACCTTAAACTTACATTGCTATATGTCACATCGCAGTAAGGCTGGGGAAAAGAAGTGTCTTTAAAAAGTAGTCTACACTCCTTAATTTATGACCTCCTGTTCACTTCTTAACTCTTTCAAACTCACAATTCTGGCTTCTTCCCACAAACTCAATTTAGTAAAGGTCCCAGATGACATCCTCATTGCCAAACCCAAGGGAGATCTTTAGTTCTCACTTATTTAAACTTTCTATAGCATCTTGTGTACATCCTCTTCCGTGTGTGTGTGCATGTGAATATGTGTATGTGCTGAGGGAAAGAGAGATTTATGACAGAAAGAGAAGATTTGGAAAACCAAAAAGGAAATAGTCCATCATAATTATACCCGACTCAGACAGTTTACTCACTGGCATGCAGGAACGTAATGTACAGAATTGCAATTTACTCCAAATCCTGAAACTTTGGTTGCACTACAGGTAAATTTTTTTAGGCCTCTCAGATTCTATCTTTAATTAGGTAGGACACAAACTGCAGACCCTGACATACGTGTAATGACTGCTAAATCTAGCTAAGATTGGCCAGAATCTATCTGGCAGAAAGTCAAGAGGAATGCTGAGAAAGCTTGGCAGTGATGGGTTGCAGAAAGATTTTGCAAAAATACATTTTCTGAAGGAAGAGATTCAGCCAGTAGTGAAACTGTTGGATGGCTTGTTTGCTATAGTGAGCGTCCAAATCTGGTGTCAGGACTGGCAATAAAAATCCTCCTAAACGTTGACTTTAAAAAGCAGTGGAATTTAAAGAGGCAGTGAGGGTCTACAAAGGGTACAAATACATGGGCCATCTTTGCAGGAAGCAGTCAGATCTCTATGGTAGCAATAGAAGGTTCTTCAGATCCAAACACCTGAAAGCTACTCTGGTCTGTTCTGTTTCCTCATGGGAACTTTTTAAAATGCCTCATCCAGAAAAATTCAACTCATTTAATGATGTTAAAAAAGTTTCCAAATAGTGCAATATCAACCCAAAGACACTTTAAGAAAAATATGAGGAAAAGGAAGATAAACTTATTAACAAAGAACACTCACCAGAAAAAAGCTGCCACAGAACAGGTGAAAAAGTGAATCTTCAGCCAAAAAACTTCAAGACAAAGAAACATCACCTCTCTGAAGAAGGGAGCACACAAAGCAGATATAATAATTCATGGGAGAGATGGCAAGACACCTATCGAAGACAAAGACTAGAGAAAAGCTACTAGAGGGAGAAAACTGGGAAGAGAAGAGGTAGATCTGTTAGTATTTACAAAGATTATGGATGTGTACTTGGAAAACATGAGAACCAGTCAATACACAGGAAAAATGTTTGGAACTATAAAGCAGAATCATCTTCCTAGTATATAAAATCACACAGAAATCAATGAAAAGAAAAGGCCAACTTCCCAGTCAAAAATTAGGCCAAAATAGAAAAGAAAATTGGAAAATAAATACAAATGGCAATGAATCACATGAGACAATATTCACCCTTATTCAAATAAGACCAATTAAAATTTAAGATTACATAGGATTTTTTTTTTTTTGCTCATCCTAATGGCCAAAACCTTTGTAAGTAAATGAATGTCACCTCGCTTTACTAGCAACCTGTGGGAAACAAGCACTGTGCGTCACTGTTTTGGGACAAACTGATCAGTAAAGCCTCAGTGGTGGGCAATTTGGCAATGTTTGTTAAAATCACGTATTCATACAGCTTTCAACCCAGAAATTCCTCTTCTGGGAAATTATTAGAGTAAAATGATATTTGTATAAAGTTACATATTACAACATTTTTCAGAATAGCAGAAGATTAAAAACCACCTAAATGTCCATCATAGAGAAACAGTTAAATAAATTACTGTGTACCCACACACAGATAATCTTCTTGGTAGTACAAAAATAAATAAATATGGAAACTCTCCACTAAAGTTATCTGATAAAAAGCTCTAAGATACATTAAATGAAAAAAGATCTTTTGTAGTATTGAAAATAAGAATGTATGTTGAAATTTGCTGCTACGTTTGTAAAGAAACTCCTGGAAGACTGGGAAAAATCTAACAGCAGAGGTGGAGGTAGAAGAATTTGCTTGACTAACTTCCTTCACTTCTTTAAGGCTTTGCTCAAGTCTCCCCTTCTGGGAGAAGCTTATGTGGACGGCTCAGCCCAGCTGAGCAGGAAGGCTATGAGGACAATTTTTTTCATTTCATTTACTGCCGTAGCCCAGGCCCTGAGAATGGCACACACAATCGACACTCAGTAAATGTTTGGTCAATGAATGTGTGGACGATGGAGGGGGGAGATGTCACTGCATTCCTTTGTATGTTTTAATAATGAATTTATTTTAAAGGTAAATTAAAAGAGGGAACGATAGAAGGGTCTCCAATTTATTCTCATTTTCTCTAGTTCAGAATTTATAGGAATCCAGCTCCATTTCCATGACTGTTTTGATTAGATAAGGGCTGAAAACATCTGATTGTTCTGAGTATCCTGGGCCTCCTCTGTCTCCCCCAAATGAAGGCAGGTTTCCTGAGCCA